AAAATAATACTCAGGCTGCTGCATTTAAGCACGTCACTTTATTCCCTCGTCTCTCCATGGAAGCTAGCGCATGGGTCTCCTTGATTGGATCAGGCAGTAGCCATTGCATGCACTGATGCACAGGTTAGTTAATGGGCCTAATTAATAGCGGCGGTTAACTGAGATTTATTTCTGATTTCTTCTGTGCGTTTTTCGTGGTCTTCCCAATAAATCCGGCCGATGGGATTCTTAAATTTGCACACTCCTAATTATTAACAAAAACTAGGTAGCTCAATTGGTGAGAGACTAAGGTGGTGTTTGTTTCTCTAGTCCTAGGACTTTTTCTAGTCCCTGGGACTTTTTAAAAAAGACTTTCAAGGAGGTGTTTTTAAAGACTTTTAGCAAAAAGTCCCACCCTGTTTGGTTTGCTAGGGACTTTTTCTAGTCCCTATATCAAAAAGTCCCTGGAAACAAACACCCCCTCAGCCTCATATGTAAGAGATCTGCGGTTCGATTCTTAGCACGGTCATGTATTTTGGGAATTTTTACATCTCGCGTCGCGTAGCCTTCATCAATGGGCCGGCCCAGTCGAGGGTGTCTTCCACGCCATATTATGTCTGGGACGTATTTTGAAAAAAGACCATCCTGCCCTTTATTACGAAGAGGTATCAAGAAATCTCGTGCGTTGATGGGAACAATCGAGTTGGCGGTCCTTAATGCTCTCGAGGACACGGAGCGTTTCTTTCTTTCGCCAGAAGAAAGAAAAGGCGACCTCGCCGCCAGGAGTCTTCCCCGCCGCCGCCGTCCGGCGGCTCCCCTCCGCCGGCGGCCTTGGTCGTCGGTGGTGAGGGGGGTTGCCGGATCCACACGTGTGGATCGTTTTTTCTCTTATAGATTAGGATTTTAGGTCACTCATCGTCTTGGCTTCGGCGGCGGCGATGGCGACGCTGAATAAAGTTTCTTCGGATCCTACTTCAACAAGGCGATCGGTCCTAATGTTGGGGATGGATTTGGCAATCAGTCTGTTCAAGCAAGGATTGCGTGGCGGCGGCGACATCCTTGTGGTGGACCTGTGTCCTCGGGCTCCGCCGTTGCGACGGCGTTTGCTCCAGCGCCGGCGCGGAGCTTGGGAGGTAGTCCAGGAGCGGATGCAGATTGTGGTCTGCATCGGCGGCATCTGGAAGATGGTGGATCATGTGCTGGGTTCGCGGTTTGTGGATGGCAGATGTGGTTTTTCTCCTCCGGCGTTCTAGTCGTGTGGGGATGCCAGATTTGGAGTTCGATGGCGTGTCCGGGGTGTTGCCCCGGTCTGATTCGTTCAACGGTAATGGTTTTACCTTTGGTGAGCCACCTTGGAGGTCCGCAAAGCTGCATGTCAGCGATGGAGCCGCTACGAGCTCGGGTGTGAAGGTGATCCATCATTTTTCCCTTTGGTGGCTACTGTCGTGGTTCCAGAGACAGGTGACGAGTGTTGGTGTCAAGTTCAGAGATTTCTTTAATCTTGATTGTAATTTTACTTCTTGGTTGTTGTTTTTTTGTGCAAAGGCTAGCTTTCTGCTGTCTTTTCAGTTTTGCCAGGTCGGTTACGTGACTTGTACTATGATACTTATGATATAAATGAGACACGTATTACCATGTAAAAAAAAATCTCATGCGTTGATGTGTTTAGGGGGGTTGTACCGAAGAAGAAGTGCAAGATCATCGGGGCACCACCACGGCCGCCAACTCTTCAAGGTGAACCCTCTCGGCGACTGGCACCGTGCATTTGGAAAGATTCAAAATGTTGCTCTGGATTGTGCTGATCTGTGATTTGCAGGCGCGCCTGTTATTGTCGCCATGGAGGACATTCAGGCAGTGCCGGCCGCGGCGGCGCGCGCGTCGGCGGGGAAGGTGGCGGTGAAGAACGAGCCGGACTGCAAGGTGCCTCCTTGTGCGCTGTCGCTTGGGAAGAAAAGGAAGCTGGAGAAGGACCGAGCGGTCGACGACGAGAGCTCGGCGTCGGACCCCTCTTGCCCGCCGGGCTTCTCCTCCATCCGTTGGAAGCCGCCGTCCGGGACAAGCAACGATGTTGAAGAACGGCAGTGCGCGCTCCAGCAGCACCGCGACGGAGGCTGGAAGGCGGCGAGGCGGCTGCTGCAGAGCACCATCACGCCGTCCCGGGGGCGCGAGCTCGCCGCGTCCAAGCCGGCCGACGTCGTCGCCTCAAGCTACGTGTCACTGCTCCAGGTGAGCACGCACAGATCGATGCAAGCTCATTCGTTCATCTTTTGTTGTTCTGGGTTGATCGATCGACATGCCATACAACTCATGGTGGGTTGCGCAGGCGGCGAACGAGGTGGCGTTCTCGCTGGGGCACGCTCTGGAGCTGGAGGAGAAGCTGAGGGCGCGCGTGCGCGAGGCGGACGCGCTCCGGGAGGAGCTGGGCAGGAAGACGAAGGCGCTTGAGCACGACGGCGCCGTCGCGGACGCGCTGCGGCCTGCGGGTGGAGCTGCGCAATACGAAGGCCAAGCTCGCCGAGGCCAAGGCGGACGCGGAGAGGGCGGGGCGGCGGGGGTACGAGCGCGGCATGGAGGATATGAAGCGCGCCGCGCTGTGCCGCTACCCGAAACTCGACCCGGCGCGGCTTGTCGTGCCAGTCCACGGCCCCCCATAGCGCGCGTCGATCGATCTGCGTGTTCTTGGGGTGCGCCCATGGCTGTCATCTGCAATTCTCACTTTGGTTTTTCACATGGATCTTGGTAATGCATCAGAGAATCTTCATCTTTATTCATTTTATTAGCCGTCAAACATTGATGAGGGAGAGGGCAATCTAATCCATGGCTGGATTTTTTCTTGGCCGTGATCTGAACTGGATCTGCAAAGTGTCTGTTTTGTTTGGCTGTGTTCTTCAGCTAGTTTCTCGGTATGGTGTCAGGATTTTCAGGCTCAGATTTTTTCAAGAAAAAAATGCTCAATTCTCTTTCGCCATGAAAGTACATCGTAAAGGAACATCCCAACCGATCTAGAACTGGTGGAACAATGCCAACATTGCATAGTTGTACTGTCATTTAGGACTACAAATTTCATATCACCAGAGTTGTGTGATGTCTCCGAATATGTTGATTTCACAAGGTAATAAGTTTTACAGCATTATACTTGGCATACTTAGAATGAAAAGTTAAATCATGCTTGTGTTCAGGAACTAAGTTCAAAATCATGCTGGCGGTTTCTTTGATATCTCTGAATATGTTGATCTCACAAGGTAATAAATTTTACAGCATTATACTTGGCATAACTAGAATGAAAAGTTAAATCATGCATGTATTCAGGAACTAAGTTCAAAATCATGCCGGCAGTTTCTTTGATATCTAAGCCTTGATAATTTTTTTTGGCAATTGTTGGGGAAATATTTGGACGCTTGATTTTTGTCTTTCTTATGCCTTTCTTACGCTAAAGTTTGTCGTAGTACATGGACATTCAAGTATGACACCAAGTAATTCTTCATTGATTCGTCGATGAATTGTAATTGTTGCCCAATGCACGGGCATTGTCCTAATTTGTAGTTTTTATCATGTATTCCCGCAGCAACGTGCGGGGTGTCATCTAATGTAAAAAGATGTTTCATACTGTTAAAAAATGTGCGTGACATTTTATGGAAATATTCACGCGTTTAAAAAAATGTATGTGACACTTAAAAAAATATACAATGTAAAAATGTTTTCATAGGTTAATTTTTTATTACCATCTGAAAAGGTATGCGAAATTATAGAAAAATATTCACATGTTTCCCCCAGAAAAGAAATATTCATGTGTTTCCCATGTCTGTGAAATCTTTAAAAATATTTATACAACATAAAAAATGTTCCTGTAGTTTTAAAAAATATTTATTGCCAATGTACAACGTGTATTTGGAAAATGTTACCGTGTACTAAAAAAATGTTCAAACCATGTATTTAAAAAGATGTACATCATGTATCTGCAAAATGGCCAATGTGTACCCGAAAAATGTTTCACATGTTCTCTAAAAATGTATATTGTGTACTGAGAAAAATTACACATCTATTATACAGACAAAACCGACAAAGGAACAAAAAGAAATGTGAGAATGAAGAACACAAGAAAGAAACAAAAAAAATCAAAGTATAAAAAGGAAAGAAATAAAAACATAAAAAATGAATGAGAAAACAAAAGAAACCAAAGTAAAATGAAAAAAAGAGAAAAATCAGAGAAAAATGGTGAAAAGCAAAAATAAAATAAAAGGAACAATAAAATAAAAACCACAGGAGGAGCTGACCTAAACAAACTCTCGACACCACCCAATCGATATGTGGGTGCCTTAACGGTGCCGCCTCATTCATCCAAATTAAGTGGTGACTTCTCCCCCAATCTCTCAGCTCACCCCTGCCCTGCCTCACCGGGGCATTCCCGAACTCGCGCAAACAGATGCTACGCTCATGGCGGAATCTGGACAGTGTTTCCGGTGTGTTTTTTGATCTGGAGATTTTTGGCTCTGTATTTCAACCAATGCTGGGATTTAGGTTTTTGAAATCTTAGTAGGACAAGTTTCATTTATTTATTTTTAGGACAGTAAAACCAAGCCTAAAGCGAGCCCTCTCAGCTATTTGCGTTTATGTCCGTCTATTTTCAGGATCTGAATGTTTTTGGCCGTTTGATCTGTTTTTTTTAGGATGGCCATCTGATCTGCTTTTTTCATTTTTGAGGCTGGCCGTTTGATCTGCTTTTTTTTTTGAGATCACCCGTTTTGATCTGCTGTGTACAACCATCTGTCCGATTCTATTAAATAGTGGCCCAACTGGAGCTGCTGCTCTGAAGGCCGAAAAGGAGTCCTGTGGTAAAGTGGGCCTTGTTCCCGGCCCAACTTAGCCCGTTTAAGTAAGGAAGGGGAAAAAAAATCGTGAAAGGGATCCAGCGCACACGGAGAGAGGCAGGCCCCGGCGACTGCGAGCACACGACTCCACCACCGCCGCCGGCGAGGGTTAGGACCTGTGGTCGCCGCCAAGTGGACTCCCGTGCGGCGGCGATGGCGAGGAGGTAAGCCAGCCCACTTCCATGACATTGAAATCTCTCAATACAGATAGAGATCCATGCCCCTTTTTCTGTATGTGCTTTTTGGTTCGTAAGTAGGACGTGTGTGAGAATTTTAACTGGCGAAGTCACTAAATTAAATCTGAGCGGAATAACACATATTCATCCTCTGTAATCCACGAAGTCGTTTTCATCCGTTCTGAAACCATATATTTGAAAGCAACAGACCTCTCATGGCTAAGCCTGCACCTGTACAGATGACAGGGCACCTTTAATCCATCATATTGCTAGAAGTGATTGGATGTGCGCATAGAGCGCGGTGCTCTGCTTTCAAATAGTGCAGCATGTCGAAAAATAATTGACGTTTGACCACAAGAAGATTAGCATATATACTTGAATTGGTTCTCTGTCTGGTTCCTGATGCCGTTATCGACAATTTAGCATTCCCCACTCACCGAGGCAGGTTCTCTGTCTGGTTCTTCATGGCTTGATGTGGCAGCTAGGTCTGCTAAAATGTATCATCTCTTCTTATGTATACACCTTCAGAGTATAGGATGATATCACACATACTGTGCTGAAACAGAAAGATGATGTCCTGTCATTTCTATTTCAGTGGTTGTTGTTTGCCTTCCCTAGGTATAAAAGGCCATATGTTTAATCATGGTAGGGCTTAATTTAAATCAGCTCATCTTGGCAATTGTTTCTCTTATTTCTGTGATAGTTTGTCCAAATTTAAATCTTCCCTTTCTTGAGTTATTAAAAGGCTTCAGTTGACTTAAAAAAAAGTTGTGTGGTTTTGCAAAAAGGAAAGGTTCTTTCTTTTTTTCTCAGAGAAATTCTGTACGGTTTGTCTACCCTTGACTTGATCTTGTTACTATCATACTATTTCATAGACAATTAGGTTTTAGAATCAGATGGATGATAATAATATTCCACCGCATGAATTCCTCAAGGACTAGCCGTTCACATTCTTAAATAGTTAATTTCTGTTCCACTTTGACAACCGAAATGTAAGAAAAAATAAGCCCCACCATGTTCAAATATTTGAACATTTATCTATTATCCAATATACAAAATATTTATGTAGTTTCCTCGAGATGGACCGGTGCTGCAACACGCGCTTCTTACGCCAGTTCATATAAATTTAAATTTTCTGCCATATTACCTCATTACTTCGCTTATAAACCAATTAAAGTTCAACTCTTCAAATACCAATGAACATACATATCAGTTGATTCAAATTTAACTTTCATATTTTGTGTCTCTGTATATTTACAACAAATCTTTCATTTTATTGAGAAAATATATGGGCGCAGCAACGCGCAACATTATGGTCTTGTTGCTTGTTACATATTAACCGCCTCCCCCCACCCCACCCCTAATCAGGGGAAATTGTAGTTGATATTTGTTTTTAGTAGCAAGCGACTTAAAATTTCTTATGCGCTAGAGTTAGATCCGGTAACTGTATTTCAATTTCTATCCTGCATATTGCGTAGCATGTATGTACTCCCTCCGATCCATAATAAGTGTCACAGCTTTGAACTAAAGTTGAGCAAACCTTAGTTCAAAATTGCGACACTTATTTCGGATTGGAGGGAGTATCTTTTTTTACTCGGATTCTAAGTTTGCTTTTTGGTGATAGATCTACTTATGGACCCTTCTTGATGGCAAGGAAGATTGCAGTACATGGCCAAGCGAATCGGACTAAGTCGACTCAGACCAGCCACCTCCCTTGTGGTAATGCTTTTTTCTGCACCCTCGGCGAGCAATTTGCGGCCACCAATGGGAAGAATAGAGGGGAAATGAGGAGAAAAACCAAGAAGGTCAATGTAAGATCGGCCTTCATCATTGATAATAGCACCCACCGCGATGCGTCTATATGCAGAAACTCTTTTCTCCATAAGATATGTACTGTTAAAAACCGTAATGAGAGTAAGTGATGCGAATCCCTCTCCTGTATTGCTCCTTTTAATTTGGGATATTTTACAAGTCGTATGATTTATCGATTAAAAGTTTGAGACTGAATGTACATGATTTTGTTTTGAAATATGCAATGTAAAATTTTGATTGCTCTAGTGAAATTGGGTAGCACAAAGTATCGACATGTAGGATATTCTATCTTCTATCCAAAATAGCTAATCCCTCCAATCCATATTACTTGTCTAGATAGGGATGCGTATAACACTGATAATATGGATCGTAGGGAATAGTTAGAAATTTTGTGATAAATAATACTCCCTCCATCCCAAAATGATTGTCTTAACTCAACTTTGTACTAACTTCAGTACAAAGTTGTACTAAAGTTGAGACACTTATTTTGGGACAGAGGGAGTAGATGGTGCATGGTTAAAATCTGGAGACCAGTCTTGTTCCCCTAAAAAGGGTGTCATATAAGTGACTTAATGTCCATGTGATGCTTTAGTGGAGAGTGTTAATATGGAGTTACCACCAGAGTAGAGGTCCAAGTTTCTTCTGAGGCTGCTTTATTGGAATTGCAACATCTTTTATTTGTAAGTTAGTCAATTAGCTCTATCATATAAAGGATGCATTATAATGATAAGATTTGTGTGTGAGCACTAACTGGTGATATCATAAGAAAAAAAAGGCTTGCTGGACAGAGTAGGTTTATCTGTCTATGTAATTAGTGTTGGTATTGGGAACATCTTTGACTTCGAACAAATTTTGTAGCTGCATCAAATTTATAATTTTCTGTCCACTTTCATCAGTATTATATTTTTTCTTAGTAACTGTTGCTCGTTTTCAGAATTCACATAGATAAATATCAGGACAATTACATTTATGCCCTTAATTGGAACCCACTACTCAAATTTGCCCCTAACTCCGAAGTGTGCTCAAAATTTGCCCCTCTTCCGTTAAGTGCGGTTATAGAAATTCCCTTCCGTACATTTTCTGTCCAGTCAACAAGGCCTTTGACCGTTAAGTGCGTGTATAGAAAAATCTAACGGTCAAAGGCCTTTGACCGGACGGAAAATGTACGGAAGGGCATTTCTATAACCGCACTTAATGGAAGAGGGGCAAATTTGAGCACACTTCGGAATTAGGGGTAAATGTGAGTAGGTGGTTCAAGTTAGGGGCTGAAATATAAATGGCCCATAAATATATCTCACATAAACTCATGTGTTCATACCAAAATGTAAATGATACTCCCTCCGTCCGAAAATAAGTGACTCAACTTTGTACCAAAGTTAGTACAAAGTTGAGTCACTTATTTTGGGACGGGGGGAGTATATGATAAATTGTGATCTGCGAATAATTATAAATTTTGAATGTTCTATTAAGTACCATTTTTTACATTTTGTCATGCATGGAATGAAACTTCTAGCATGTGTTCTTGTAGCTTGGATTTTGATTAATCTATTCTTATAGCTTGGCTCCTGAAAGTTTTACGTTTTCCATATATTATTCTTTTATGAGCCTCACTTATTTGATTAGTGTAGTTATGTTGTTATTTTTATACGAAAATTTCTATTAGACATTTTTTTCTAACTTAACACTAATGTCTACCTATAAATCATAGTTGTGCTATTTATGGTAAGTATCTATCTAATATATATTTGTATGAAGCACAACTGGAGCCAATGATGTTATCGGATCCCACTGATTGTTTTCCTGACCGGAAAAGATGTGATGTGCATCGTGTACGCAACATGATGCAAATATTTTCATTAAAGTTGGCTAAAGTTCCTGTGATCACAAGCTCGGTACAACTATATGGATATATAGCTGTACGAGATTGTCTGGATTCATTGCTAAATTATATTGTCAATCGTAGCAGGGACGATCCCATGACGGTGCAGCAGGTGAACATCTTTCACATCTCTACCTACCCGTAGTCATTTTTAATAGTTCGTTGATTTCATAGTTTAAGGTTAATTTCATCACATGCATCGAGTAGATGGATCGAACTATAAACCTTTTTTATGGCATGCTACAATCACTTAGGTCCGGTTCGGAACTCCTTTGGCTTTGTGCTCCGCAAACTCCGTGCACTGAGCCAGGCCGAATCCGGCAGCTCAGGGAAGTGGAGCACTCTTCTAATGTAAAATGGTGAAGCGGCCAAAAGCCAGGTTCCAAAACATGTAGTAATACATAAATATGTACCTATTTACATTTTGGTGTTATGGCTGAATATTTGCTTCCATGGGGTTAAATCTAGTAACTATGATATCAAATGGAGAATAATATTGTGGAATGGCAGTACTCAGAAAAGATATTACCGGTTAAATAGGTGTGAAATTGAGTGGTCTACTAGGGACCAATGGGTATTTTATGAAAGTCAAACGCAATAATTTTGGACCATTCATATTCTTTTTGTTTCCTTGAATGCATCTATGGGTTCTTATCACAAATGTGTTGAACACAACAAATACCTTAGCCCTTGAACTACAAAGTCTTTTTTGCCTGGTTGTAACTTTAAGTGAAAATGTTATCTTCACTCGTATAAACATTTGAGATGTGGCGAAGATGGTTCCAGTTTGAATATCTTATCTGTATTGGCTCTTGTGTAGGAATAAACGTGCCTTGGAGGGCATGTTATAGAACGATTGGTGTTCTCCTCGCATATATTAGCCAAGTTTATGGTTGATTATCTTTGCATGTTTTATCAAACATTACAAGTTTCATGTGCAACCGACTTATGTTTGTAGATGGGTCGAGAATCCTTTGTCAATTGGCTAGAAAGAAGAATATACTCTTTAGGCAACTCTTTACTTTTACTGTGAGCCACTATATAGCAATTTAATAATAGTTCTGCAGGGTTCTCTCATTGAGATGACTGGCCCTAAGAGGGGAATCACAATGACCTCTCCTGTTCCTAGTTGAGTTTGACATGAGGATCAGGAAAGGAGAGCAAGAAGAAGATGATCTACAATTAATTGACGGTGCAATAGACTGCGAACTAACCACACCTTCCCGTCCATCCACTAACCGCATTAATGGCGATTGTGGTGCAGTTGACATCACTTTGGCCCGCGTTCCCGGTGCAGTGGAGGCCACTATAGATGTTATTATATCAAAAGTGCAGAGCGGATTCAGTTTATCTCTGAGCTCGTTTGTGTTTGCCGGTGGGTCACATCAGGGAATCGAACTCTTTTGTGGTATTATCGGTGAGTCATGTGGCTTAACAAGAAGATATGTGATTGCTGTACAGATGGGTAGTTGGATGCATTTGAAGTTCAATGTAGGTCAGAAAGGCTCTGAATATGATGATCTGGAACGCTATTGCGGCTTCAAAGCAGACATCCATGGGTGTGACTGTCAACAAATAATACATGAGCATGCATCTATCTCGCTGAAGGTGACTTGGTCGATTGTGCGATAAAGTCATTGTGCTTCAAATTCAAACTTTACTGGGATTATTTGGTCTTGCACTGGATACATGTCCATCTGGCACTAGATGCATCTATCTCCTGCCGGCATGGTCCACCTGCGCGCTCTTGCGGCACGGCTATCTCCGGTTCGTCCTAGATGAGAAGGGAAGCAGATAATGTTGCATGGTTCATTCCTCGTACATTGTACTGTAATTGTGAATTTACATTTGCTTGAAGCGTCAGAAGCTTCATATAGTCAAGGATCACATGCACAGCTGCTCTATGAAACATCACGTACAAGACCAATTGTCATGCCCCTGTTTTTTATTATACACATCTGTGCAAACCTGAAGAGGATGATTATCAGCAAACTGAAAATAAGATAAGGATGTAGCTGCTCTGCCTTTCATTGCTTTTGATCTTGTATACAACATATTTATCATTACATATCATCAGAATTATATATGTAGCTGACTGAATAGCAGGTAAATCATGCACAACCCCTGTAAAGAAATATAAGAGCATTTAGATCACTAAAGATCTCAACGGTTTTGTATTTCTTTACGGAGGGAGTCTAAGTACTACTCCCTCCGTTCCAAAATAGATGACTCAACTTTGTACAACTTTAGTACTGTA